AAAAAAAAAAAAAAAAGTAGAGCAAGCCCCACTTCTAGTCATCAATCTTTTTTAGTATATACCATGCCTATACTATTAACAGTATTTTTTCCCGTTCTCTCTTCTCTAGGCTTTTTGTCCTCTCTGCTCTCCTTAAACATCTCCAGGGGTACATGTTTATCTCAGGGCCATTGCATGTGCCACTTCCTCTTGCTGGAGCCTTTTACTTCACATTTTTACCAGATCACTCTTTCATATCCCTCAGGTCTTTGTTAAATATCACCTTTCCAGCGGCCTTTTTGCTGACTGCATTTAATATCCGTACCCACTTTCCTTCCCTTTGTTTACTCTCTCTTTCCTGACTTATTTTTCTCTATTGCATGTATTACTTTCAGAAATATCATATATTTACCTAATTGTCTTGTTTGGCACTGATGTCTCCAACAAAAATGTAACTCAGTAAGAAAAAGGATTTTTTTTTTTTTTTGAGAGACAGGTTTTTGCTACAGATCTCGTGTGCTCACTGAAGAGACAGAGAGATAGAAAGTGAGAAATCACCCTCAGGGAGGATGGCCATGCTGCAATTCCTTGTCCTCCATTCTCCTTTTAGGATCTTAGGCAAGCACGCACATGTGCCGAGTGTGAGTTTTAAACTGCTGGGTCTGCGACTTGAACCGTGGTTGACCACATGAGAGTCCCACAACATAACCGTTATGCCATTTGCTGGTCCCAAGGGAAAGGATTTTATCCTCCCCACTCCCACTCTTGTATTATGTAGCTTCTAGAACAGGCATAAGCAATATCTGTTAAATAATAAATTAATTATCTTCATGATTTTTGAAGTTTTCTTGTTATCAGAAAAGTCATGACGTATTTTTCTATGCAAAAATGCATCACTACCTTTCCAAGGACCCAATATTTCATGATATTATTATACACTTTGAACTAAAAGCTCCCTTTGTGGCAGGAGCAATGGTAAAACTAAGGACCAGGCAGTGGCTTGGTGAGGTAAACTTGGACCCACATAGGAAGGTCCTGGAGTCCTATGAGACTTACCTAGATTAGGGTTGGCTAAGACTGGGAGTGGATTGCAGCATGGAGACGCTATCTCTCTGTCTCTCTTGTTCAGGTTTTTCTGATGGTAAGGATCATATTCTTAAGCACTGAAAGGGAGGAATACAATGGGAAAATAGGAAGATGGGGGGTTCCTGAGACCCTCTGTGGGCTCCAGGGAAACTCCCAAGGGCTTTCTTTCCTTTCTGTCATGTCTTAATTCTGACCCACATATAACTACTTTTATGAATAAATGGCTCTCCCAGGTCTTCTGCTTTTTTGTTTTGTTTGTTTAAGAGCAATTTTTGCTCTACAGCATGTGCACTTTCTGGAAAGAAAGAGTGACAGAGACAGAAAGGAGGCATCACCCACCATGGAGGACGGCCACACTCCAATCTCTTCTCCTCCATTCTCCTCTCAGGATTTTGGGCATGCATACACTCATGCCTGGTGTGAGGTTGTTTTTGTTTTGTTTTGTTTTTGTTTTGTTTTGTTTTGTTTTTGAGAGGTTCTTGCTATAGGGCACGTGTGCTCGCCAGAAAGACAGAGAGAAACAGAGAGACAGAAAGCAAGAAATCACCCCCCAGGGGGGATGGCCACACCACAGTCCCTTCTCCTCCATTCTCCTCTCGAGATCTTGGGCACGCACGCACACGCACCAGGCGTGAATTTAAGCCACCAGGTCCAGGACTTGAACCGTGGTCAGCTACATGGGAATCCAGCGACATAGCCATTACACTAACTGCTGATCCCGCCTGGTGTGAGTTTTAAGCCGCTGGGTCCAGGACTCAAACCATGGTCAAATACGTGGGAGTCCAGTGACTTACCCATTATGCCATCCACTGGTCCCCTTACTGCTTGTTTTAAGCTGTGTTTGACATCTGACTGGTACGTTGGTGACTAGTGTTAGGTAAGCAAGCAATTCACAAGAACATTCCTATTAATGTTTTTTTGTTTTGTTTTGTTTTGTTTTCCTAATGTCCGTATTAAATAACTAGAAGAGATACTTTTACAAAATATTTCAAAGTTTTAGTTCCCTACTTTCTTTGAGAAATGAAGTCAAAGAAAACATTAGGTCAGATTCTTGAAGTTCTGCTATAGCAGGATTTGGTGTGTTTTGAATTATTTAGTGGGATTAAGGCCAAAGAAAGCTTTGTACTCTCAAGTTCTATTTTCAAAGAATCTGGGGAGTGAGTCTTGAGTTCTTGTTCTATATCCTAGGAAATCAAGTGGAAATTCTTCTTCAAGTCTTGGAGAAATGGTATCAGGGACATTTCGAGCAACCCCCACATCAACAGGTGAGGGTTTTATTTAAACATTTTTTAAATGTAACGTATTGCTTTATTAATATTTAAACACACATGTGAGTGTTTTCACTAATTTGGAAACAGCTTAAAGGCTTGATTTTAAAATGGTTCTCCTGTTTAATATTAGATTGCTCATTTACTCCTATGGTAATCTGATTTGATTTAAAGGCTATTAATGATACTAAATTTCAGATCATTTTAATTTTGAAATATTAAAATTATATTTACTTACCAGAGGCAGTAACTACCCACTGTGTAAATCAGTATGCAACAAGTTCATTAGTCTACCCAAAAACCCAAAAGATTTCAAGGTGGTGAGGTCCAATGAAAAGGAAACAGAGAGCTGCAGACTCTCAAGAGAATGTTCTCTTTCATTCTCCGTGAGAAACTTTAGGATGTGTTGGTACAAACTGGTTATTGAGATTAGGAGGGTCAAAGCAGAGAATAAGATAGGGTCCAGATGACCTCATTTATATTTGGACCGCAGACAGCTGATCCCTGAATTAATAGTAACGAAGGGACAATGGTGGCCCAATAAGTAGTTTGTTGTGATTTTTAGAAATTATGATGGTATTCACACAGGAGTTTTTCTTCCACCACATTCCCTGCCTCCTACAGGCTGATTTCATCCTGACCCAGAATGCTGCTGCATTGGGGTATGTAGTATTGCCAGCTGTAAATTGTAAGTCTGAGAGTCTGTCTGGCCTGCCACAACTGCAGGAAGCTGGAACAGTTCTGAGGATCTGAGTTTTGGTTTATGTGCATCCCTCCTGAACTCTGGGGCCCTGACTAAACTAGGTCTCTGGTTGCCCCTAAATAAGAAGAGACCTGCTTAGATGGACACAAAACCACTTTAATCAGATAAATAAGAAGAGACCTGCTTAGATAGACACAAAACCACTTTAATCAGAAATTGAGTACATTTTGCTCCATTTGTGTTTACTAACCATTCAGGACATTGCTGTTTTTCACTTATGCAAACAGGAAAAAATAAAACACAAGTAAGTAGTTACAAAGGTATTGGAAATTGAAAAGCAGCATCGTGAGAAAAAATTCTCAACATTGTCAATATTCTAGACAATAGGCAAAAAACACCAAATGACTGGAAAATTACCTGTAATTCACCAAAGTTGCAAATAGAAAAATAATAAATGATTAGTGACAGTTTGTTTTTCCCAAAATGTTATTCTATTTCTTTTTATTAAATTTTGTTTGTCCAACTTATTCTCTGGCATACTGTGTCCGAACAGGAGAACGACCACAGCTAATGGGCAGTCCAGATGTCCGTTGTTGTTATGCACTGTCCATCATCCCCACCCAACATAAAACCAGGACACAAGGTTGTACAGGGAGGAAGTTATCTGTCTTTCATGTCTTCCAAATTGGCATTTCTAGAGTGAAACCGTAGAGGAGTGCCTACAGAGTGGGTGATAGGGAAATGAAGAGGATATTACAGAGACAAATGAGTGCATACTTCCATCTTTTAAACTCATGTACTATCATTTACAGAGATTACATATTTTGATATGGCTCTCATTGTTGTCTTTTAGCAAAACAGAAGCAAAAAGTGGTAAGTTGTGTTTCCTTTTTAAATCTACCGTTAAGGTTCCTATACATACATGTCTGCAATGCTCCATCTCGGTGACCCAAATGGCCATAAAATAAGGGATGAGCCTCCTTGGTGGGGACCTGTCGTAACCATTGATTGCTCGGCCTGAGAATGATGAATGCTGTGGCTATCCAGAAGATGCGCTCAACCTCACCTTGTCATGCATGTCGAATCATCTTTTTCAGACGGAGCACATTCCTCCTTACGATGTTGTGCCATCGATGCGTCCAGTGGTGTTAGTGGGGCCGTCACTGAAAGGTTATGAGGTACAAATATCATGTTACTCTTCAGTTCTTGATTGAGAACATAAGAGACAATCATTGTGACGCTCGCTCTCCCAGGGTCTGTTTACATTTAGGTCCTGACAGAAGCCGACCCAGGATGTGAAGGCGGGTGGGACCCCATGGGCTTTATGTGGCCCTTTGCCCTTCTTTCCTCTCTTGCACATTCCTCATTTTTCATGTATTCCTTTGGGAAATTCTGGTCAAAACTTATATATACTATATATTTGCATGAAATTTAAAGGAAAAGACTTTCTGTTCTGACGTCCCATTATTACTAGAAAAAATAGACAAAGAACTGTATCAGGGAATATATGAGCAACCTTCTAGCAAATCTAACCTTGAGAACGCCAACAAATCTCACTCTGCTGGGTGCTTAAGACAATGGCATATTTCACCAAATGTTTCTCTGCTTATTTATTTAAAGGATAAATAGTAAAACACACACACACACACACACACACACACACAACCCACTAGTGAACTTTTGATATTAGACAATACCATGGAACCAGGAGAAGAGTAGAGACTTAGATGTACTACATATCAGATGTTGCCATTTTGACTTACTGCTATGGATAAAAGTAGATGGGATGCCGCATTAAAATCCAAAGGTGAGCAACCCCCCCCAAGGTACCTTTCCTCTTGAGCTAGGATGGTGTCTGGCACACAGTGAGCACTAGGTATACATTTGTTGAATTAATTCATAAACCTCTTTGAGGCAGATCTGTGAATCCCATCTCTTATTCACGCTTCCTCTCCTCTTTGTCTTTCTCTGAACTGGAAATATCAGAGGGATGTGCAGAAGAGTGGTCTGTAAAAATCCAACCCTGTGCATGGAGAGTGTCACTATGCACCAGTTAGCAGGATAGCTGAGCCCAGGGCTTGGAGCCTCTAGCTGCTCCTTACTGGAGGCAAGCACAAGGCAGGCAGTCAAGAGTGGCCTGCACCAGTGTTCAAAGCCAGTCTGTCCTAGCCCCTAAGAATGGAAGAGGGAAGAGGGTTTGCTTTGGGCCTGGTGAACATTGCTTGTTCATTCCTCAACCCTGGAGAAGAACCAAGGGGGTAAATGAGCAATTGCACGTGTTTAAGCATGAAAAGCACCTTCAAAGGTAACGTCCTTCTAGGAGACGACTGGCTGCAATAGGTCTTTGCTCGGTCGTAGTGCCCTTCCCTTCCACTTCTCTCACTTTTGACTTCTGTCTCTCTGCGTGTGTTTGCCTCATTCTTTTTTTCTCACCTCTGCAAAGGTAACAGACATGATGCAGAAAGCCCTCTTTGATTTCCTGAAGCACAGGTTTGATGGGAGGTGAGACATACAGATGTTTTTGTATTTCTATTTTCCTTTAACCAGATATGTATGATAAATTGATGTGTGGATCTATGTTTCCAGCAAAGGCAGAAGTTCTCTCATTTAAAGTTAGCTCATAGTCTTGGGAAGAAAATAATGAAAATGCTCTGAAAATATGAAATATAGCCTTGAATTCCCAAGGGAAAAAGTACCTTGAGAAGGATGATTATCTATTTGTTTTACTTAATGTATATGTCCTTATTTTCTCACATATTAGGGAATTTATACTAGGATGGGTTTCATGGAAAATATTAATTGAAGTACATAATATTTTGCATGTATATGGTGGCTCACTGGTAAAGCTACATAATATCACTTGGGAATTATATATATGTGAAATATATGAGGTTAGAAATATAAAGTATTAAATTATCTCAAAAGAAGAGTACAACAGTTGTTTTCATCACAAGCCTCCCAAAGTGACTGTTTTTATAATCAATAATATTTATTTGAACTTTTGAGTCTGTTTTATTAGAAGTGACCTTACTTTATTGGTCTATTTTGTATGTATCTTACTGTGACCCATCACTAATATGGCTCAGTCTTTCGCCTTCAAATAAATTTGTCATTCAAGTTTTATGAAAAATGTCTACAGTTTTTGTGTTCTGCAGAGAAATGGTAAAAGTTTGTAAATGTTAAGGTCTTTCACTATGCAGAATGTACACCATGTAAAACTAACCACGTGAAAAAAACCTAAAGACTTTTTAGAAATGTACAAGATTTAGAGACCAGCAGATAACATTATGGCTATGTCGCTGGACTCCCATGTAGTCGACCACGGTTTGAGTCCCGGATCTGGTGGCTTAAGCTGAGGCCAGGTGCGTGTGCGTGAGTGCCCAAGATCGCGCGAGGAGAATGGAGGAGAAGGGATTGCGGCATGCCATCCTCCCTGGGGAGTGATTTCTCACTTTCTGTCTCTCTGTCTCTCTCTGTCTCTGGCAAGCACACATGCCCTATAGAAAAAACCTTTCTGAAAAAAAAAGAAATGTACAAAATTTAAATGATGTGTATTAAGAAGTATGAATAAATGCATCCAATTTATCACCTTAAATGGACTAAATACTTTTAAAATACAAAATATATTTTCAAATAGATTTTAATAAATTGATATTTTAAGATGAAATAAAAACATAAATAGTACTGTAAGTACAAATTGTATATATTTCTCAAAAAAAAAGCCTTCTGCATAATTATGTTAAAAATAGTCATTAGTTCCTGAGACTACATTCAAAGAAAATAAACTTAGACTTTAATTCCAGTAATTGAGATTGCAGTTTAAGAAATATGGCGATTCCATGTCATTATTGTGTATTTCTAAGTACATTATATCAGTCACACTGCCTTAATAAATAGACTTAAAAGGGTATAAGGGCTCAGACACCATGGGAGTTTATTTTTTGCTCACTTAACAGTCTGAGGTTTATTTCCTTGCCTGGGATGGAGGGTGTATATAGGGAGGGAAAGATCAGCAGTAAGTTTGTTCCCCCTGTCATGTGGGGGCTGTTCGCCTGGGGTTGATCATTTCAGCCAGTTAGATGAGGCACAGAGCATGCTGGGTCTGGAAGTAGAGCATGTCATTCCTCACATTGCATTGGTTAGAATTTGGTCATGTGATCGTGCCTAACTACACAGGAACCTGGGAAATACAGTTTAGTTATGTACACAGGGGGGAGAAGAAACATATTGTGTTGAACCAATAACTGTCTCTGTCATGTTCATCTAGTGGATACAGGAGGCTTAATAAGAAAGATGCATTTATCCTATTCCACTCTTTTAAAACAGAGCATAGGCAGAGAATGAAGTAGTTTCAAAGAGAAGAAGTGAAAAGTACTGAATACTAGACTCATTGGAGGTGGAAGGAAATGTATATTCCTTTTATTCTAATTTCTCTTCTCTAACAACCACAATCAAATAGACAACCTACTTCTGTGTGAAAACTTCTGGCTATTGGGAATTCACTTCCTCAAAGAGCATTACAGAAAAACAGTTGAACTCTGGCTCCTTAACTTAATAGAATTGGTCTTATCCTGCCCTTTGATGCTCGGGACCAGAACCCTAACCTTCATCAGCTCTCTGTGGATTGAAAGCCACTAGCACACATGACCCAGTCTCTGCATTCTTGATTGTTCCTTCAGCTATGCTTGCAGTGATGTGGTTTTAACCTGTGGTGCGTCTACCTCATTTAGCTCTAAGCAGAGCCTTGTCTTCTGTCCCCACCACAGCCCTCCCTCTAAACAAACAACATCCCATAACACTGCCTTAGTTTGTGTTAGATTGTTTTTGTCCCCAAATAATGTACTTAAATGTCATCAGAGGTTTGAAAAATAGAAACTGTGGAAAAGAAGAAAGGATTTCTTATAACTTAGTAAAGAGAAAATGAGTGGCTTATTATGGCTGTCAAGAATGAAGACTCTGATGTTCTTCCTCAAAATGCTGAAATCCAGAAAGGAAGAAATTGATTTCACTGTAACAGCAGCGAGTTGTCTCGAATCAGGTAGAATGATCTGCATTGTTCACTGTACAAACACTGATAAAGTTGGTCTTAATACAAATAGAATTAAAATGTCCATGTGAGGTGTTCATGGGATCTAGTAATGAGGCCAAGGATTGGGAAAAACAATTCAACAGTAACAGAAGTAATAGCTGGCAGGGCCAGCAGATGCCATAATGATTACATTGCTGGACTCCCACACAGTCAACTGCAGTTTAAGTCCTGGACCTAGTGGCTTAAAACTCGCACCAGGTGCGTGTGCAGGCGTGCCCCAAATTCTGAGAGATGAATGAAAGAGAAGGGATTGGGGCACAGCCGTCCCCTCTGGAGGGATGATTTCTTGCTTTCAGTCTCTCTGTCTCTTTCTGTCTCTAAGGTGAACACAAGCATTCTATAGCAAAAATCTCTCTTAAAAAAAAAAAAGTAGTAATAGCTGGAGACAGAGACAAAGCCCTGGAAAGATCTGATGTGTGCCAGAATTGGAGGAAGATAGATCTTAAAGAGAGGAGTGAGAGAAGGACTTGCTTTCAAATACTAAGAGGCTCATACAGCAGGAAAGTAATGAGTTCATTGGTCGAGTAGGTGCAGAGACTTTGATAAAGAAGAAGAAATCACTGGTGGCTTCCCACTGACTCTGACACGTTTTCTGTGTGGAAAATTGTCTCACATTTGAGCTATGACAGTATGTTACATTATGTTTCACCCATTAATAAAAGGAGAAAACACATGTCCTTCATTGAAACCAGCCAAGAGAACAATGACAAAGAAGGCATAGTGATAGAGCATAGACAATATGATCTAATGGGAACCTACTGTTTCACTGACTAAGAATGCAGTAGGTTAGACAAAATAGTCATTTGAGAGTCCTATTATTTTTCAGAAAGAATAAAAATAGGATCCATTGGCTAAGAGACTTTCTTTCCCAACACTGCTTGACCAGTCCGATAGCTTGACAATTGTAGAATCATAAACTTGGCTTTTATTATTTTTTTCCATACCTTGGAAATTATTTGAGTCAATTTAGAGATACTTATTATACAGTTTTATTGCTATAGCTGCTTTTGTGGAGCCTAATTGTAACCCATGTAAGAAAAATGAAAAGTATAATACTAAATATTTCCCAAGGGCCCTTTGTATATGTGAATATCTACATATAGCCATGACTCTTATTTACAGACCATAAACTAAGTGAATCTAACAAGCTGTTTTGATGGCATCAGGTTGGCAAAGAAATAGTAAATGCACAATTGGCACAATAGTAGATACACAAAGATTCTCCTCACTTCACACCGCAGTTATTCATTGGGGATCAACCTTTTGGATGAAGTTTGTTCAGCTAGTTGAATCTACCATGCATAGGCTGAAGACCAAGCTGTCACCACTGCAATTTGTTGACCTATGCCAAATCTCCTAAAAGTTGTTTCTTTAGTTTTTTTGACACATGGATCAGATCAGCTCTATGGCATTTATTGAATGCTTTGAGTTGACAACATGGCCATAGCCAAAATCGCTCAGTGAACATCATGTAATCTACACAGACAAGATCTTAAGCTAAGGAACTATTAACCTAGTTATGTGCGAAGGAAAAAAAAAAAAGAAGATTTGAGAAAGAATTTGAAAGAAAGGAAGCTGAGTACAATTTAGGACAAGTCGAAGAAATAGTATTTATTTGTAAAAGGAAATGGAAACAGTTGATGCTGCCCAAAGCTGCCAGCCATGTAAGAATGAAAAAAATCTGTAATTGCAGACAACCCATGGAAAAGGCACAACAGTGACTTCTGTCTCATAATCATTATCATTCTCTTATAAACTCTGCTTACTATTTTCTCTTCAAATGCAGACTCATCAGTGGACTCTCAGATGCTAGAGATGATGAACTGAATGCTTGAAACTAAATGTGAATGTTTCAGTTAGTTGGTTGGGACTGTAAAATGTTTGACATTTCCAGTAATTGTCTTGTGTACATGATATATGTGTCTATTAACACAGTCCCCTCAACACCACCGAGAACTAGTTCAAGAAACACTTTCATGTGAGAGGTCTTCAAAAAGTTCATGGAAGTGTGTATGGGTTGTTAGGAAAGTCACAATGCGTTTTTGCACAGAAAAACAGGAAACTAAATCATGATATTCCCAACAACCTAATATTTTCAGGAAACTGTGCATGGATTTCAATTTTTTTTGGCACCCAAATACACTCAAACTTTAATTCCATTTCCTCATGAACTTTTCGAAATCCCTTTATATGTTATCTTATATACCCTTAATGACAGGATATCCTATGGCATAGTTGTGCCAAAACTCCTTTTGCCAATTTGTAGATTAGGCTGTAAGGGTTTAAAAGATGGCATGACATAAAAGATGGTCTATAGTCATGCAACTACCAAAAGAAAGAGCCAGGAAAACACTCAGGTCTTCCCCTGCCTTTCATACTATTCTGCTGACCACCTACTGTTCTGGTCTTTGAAGCACTTCTGCCTGTGAATAGTAGGAGTTTTTAAAAAGTTTTTAAAATGGGAACCAGCAGTTAGCATAATGGCTATGTCGCTGGACTCCCACGTAGTCGACCGCGGTTCGCATCCTGGACCCGGTGGCTTAAAACTCACACCGGGCGCATGTGTGTGCGTGCCCAAGATCCCGAGAGGAGAATGGAGGAGAAGGGATTGCGGTGTGACCATCCCCCCTGGGGGGTGATTTCTCGCTTTCTGTCTCTATGTCTCTCTCTGTCTGTCTGGCGAGCGCACGTGCCCTATAGCGAAAATCTCTCCAAAAAAAAAAAAAAAAGTTTTTAAAACTGAATTTCCAGCATATTAGATATAGCAAGGATATATAAAGATCTTATAGCTGTTACATCATCAACATGGAGATACCAATTTATTTTTTAATGAATATGCCATAACTGAAAATTAATGTCTTTCCATAAAAAATCATAGAAAACTAATATTCATAACTCACACCAGATTGCAATTTTGATGAATTTCAAAGTAGAAATAAGCAGCAGTTGGGGTTCAGACTGGATGTAGAGAATCATTTTTACAAGTTTTTGGGACATTTGCTGCTTCCCCAGTCTGCTGGGAGAAATGAACTCCTACTAGTCTGTTACCTACTAGCCAGTGACTCCTAACACTATGTCACGAAAAGGTTTCTAAAAGAACTTTTTCCAGATGATCAAGCAAGATGCATGGGAATGCTGAAAGACACTAAGGGGTATGAGTATAGCAAGAAAAGAAATAGAAAGGATACCACTTTAAGTTAGAGGAGAAGATGAATAGTGTCTATGCTAGATAGCATTCAGTGGTGAATGTAATTATTATGCTGGAAAGCTTTCTAGACATGGGAATTTGGGGTCTGTGTTTATTATGATAATAGCAAGCATCTTTGCACGGGAAATAAAAACTCCTACTTTATCTGAAGGGTTTCTAGGTCTGTGTCTATTGTCTTTGAATACTATTTCATGTCTGTATATTTTTATTTTCAAATAGCTTGTATTAGAAACTTAACTTGTATTTATTAGTGCATAAAAATTTAAAAAGAAGCTCTTAATTTTCACACCTTTTCCTTTATTTTTAAAACCTATGAAGCAGATATTTATATATATATATATATTTTAAAAACATTGGTTGTATTCAAAAAAGGCTTTGCAAAACAGTTCTTATAAATCGGGGGGGAAAGTGTTCATCTGTTGATAATCCCTTCAAATTTTAAGAATCAAGAGTCACTGTTTGGTCTGTATAAAACTAGAAGTTTTGTCTTTTACTTAAGTAGGATAGATCTTTGGGCCCTCCAAAAATCAGAATTTTAGGACATTGAATTCTGTCTGTAAACCGACCCACTGTCTCCAGTCATACGTTCGAACTGCTCTGGAACACAGATGTGTTTCTTTCCAGCAGCTCCATTCTTTGAAAACAAATAAACCAGAAACCCAGAAACACAAAAATAAACATGTAGATCCTATTCTGTAAAGGAAAAGAGCTGGCAATGAGACTTCAGATGAACCTCAAAGCTGCAGTGGCCAAGGGAGTAATGGAAACTCAGGTGTGGGGTTCACCCAGTCTCAACCTGATTTAAGCCCTGATTAAAGGGCTTGATCAGAGCAAGACCAAGATTCCCTATGTTTCTGCGCTTGGTGATTTGACTCATGTCTGGAGGCTCAGAGTTGCTGGAGAAGAAAACTGAACTGTAGGGGAATTATGGAGTCAAATGACTAAGCACTGGCCTGTTATTCAGGGTCCTGGTTTAGACTTTGTTAGCTGATTGGTAACCAGAGGGAACATCCTCTTTGTGCCTTTGTTTTCTTCTTGGTAAAATGAAGAAATTGTTACACCAGTGTTTTCTAATGTCCTATAGTAGTTGGACAACTTGTTATAACTTGCTGACATCATAAATAGACCCCAGTGCAGAAATCAGGGGTGCAGGGGTGCTTGCCTAGCACTGAGAGTGGTAAAGTTGGAGCTTCCCGAGCTCGGTCTCCCTTTAGTGCTCAAAATGGTTCTTGAGTTATTTCTGCAAAGCTGTTGGTTTTTGCAGAAGACAATTTGAAGATGCATCAGATAATCATTAGGGTCTAAAAATTTAAAAAATTAAAATTTCTTGACCACTTACAGCTTATAAATGCAATCATACAGGCAAGCAATGCTTCGCTTTAAAATGGCACCAGAGGGGCTGGCAGGTGGCATGGTAGTTAAGGGCACTGAATTCCCACATGGCCTACTGTGGTTTGAGTCCTGGACCTGATGGCTTGCTCTCTCTCTCTCTCTCTGTCCCTCTCTGGTCAAATTTAAATAAATAAAATTTTAAAATAAAGTTAAATAATTTTTTAAAAAATGACACCAGAAGCTGCCTCCATGGCCTGGTAGTTAAGGAAGCCATATCTCATGTGGCAGACTACACAGTTGAAGTCCCAGACCCAGGAGCTTAAGAAACACACAGGGCCCATGAACATACATGCCCAAAATTCCCAAAGGAGTGAGAGATAAAGGAGAAGGGACCATTCCTCATAGGGGATGCTTCCTCCTCTCCCTCCCTGTCTCTCTCTCTCTCTCTGGCAAGTGAAAGTGCCCTCTCGCACAAAAGACAAAAAACAACAACAACAAAACAACAAAAACCTACCATAACTTTTGCCTAGACTGTTGCTTTAAAGAAGCGATTTCCAACCATCTGTGAAACAGACTACTTTAAATTCTTCTTGAGGCTTCAGGTCACTAAGGTCAAGTAAAGAGTCTGCTGACAGTACTGACAGTGTCCCAGAGCAGGTGTGAGATGACATGTGATTCAATCATTGTCAGTAACACTGCCTCTTCCCTATTCCTACTCCCTAAAGGAGTTTGAAAGTGGAGAAACAGGGTTGCAGAAGCTGAGTGTCAGAGTGAAGAGTGCTGCTTTCCTTGTCTTTTCTGGGAATTCTGCCAAGCTGTGAAGATAAGGATGAGGAAGGCCTGTGGGGGCAGTAATGGCTTAGAGAGGCAAACTTTAAATCCTGCAAATAGATGATAATTGGGAGTGAGCAATCTCCATTTAAACTACAGAGTTTTTAAATTATAAGGTCCATGGGCCAGCAGGTGGCATGGTGGTTAAGGGCGCTGGACTTCCATATGGCTGACCACTATTTGAGTCCCTAACCTGGCAGCTTGCTTTCTCACTTCCTCTCTCTCTCTCTCTCTCTCTCTCTCTCTCTCTCTCTCTCTCTCTCTCTCTCTCTCTCTCTCTCTCTCTCTTTTTCTCTCTCTCTCTCTTGCTCACTTTGTTTCTCTCTGGTCAAATTAAAATAAATAAATAAATAAATGAAGTTAAATGAAATTATTCTTTTTTAAAAAAATTGTAAGGTCCAGGGGCCATCAAGTGGTATGGTGGTTAAGGCTCTGGACTCTCACATGGCCAGTCATGGTTCAGGTCCCAGACCTGGTGGTTTGACATTCATGCTGGGTGTGTGTGCATGTGTGCCCAAAATCCCAGGAGGAGAATGGAGGAGAAGGGATTGTGTTATGGCATTCTCACTCCCCCCACCTCAGTGGGGGTGATTTCTCACTTTCCCTCTCAGTGTCTCTTTCTCCAGTGAATGCATGCTCCCTATGGCAAAAGTGGAAAAAAAAAAAAAAGTAAGTTCTAGATGTTCTCATCAAATAGATCATATGCAAACAAACCCTCTCCTTCATTCATTTGCACCTTCTTTGTTTTATTCTTTTCTTACACAACTGCAGGAAACTTTCTAACGTATCAAAGTCCTGACATGATACTCACAATGCACTCAACTGTAGCGTCATATGACTGCCCACAACATGCATTCGAAGTCATGTGCAGATTTGCTAAGGAATCCTGTGTCTTCAGAAAAGAAATTGTATTTTTCACATCTGAGAAGTTAATCACTCTGGGCCTGTAGCGAAATGCTTCATGTATCATGAATTAACTACTGAGTAGAAAGAATGCAATTTAGTCACCAATTGGTTGACTGTTGTTCATGATTAAAATGAAGAGGGTTTGCTCCCTTTGACCAATAGCATCAAAATGTCAGGGCAGAGAATTTGTAGTTCCTGAAGATCTTGTTCAAAAGTAAATCAACTGAATTGTGGGGAAATTGTATGGCTGCTTCCTGGAAAGAGCATGGTTTATTCCTATGTTTTGATTCCCTCCCAGTATGGTGTGCATATAATGGGAGTTTGGTAAGGCAGACCACAATGGAGGAAGTTAATTTTTACTGGGGGAGTTTTTTTGTTAAATAACCAAAATCATCCTTCCTTCTGCTCTGCTTATGTTTTAATATTAGTCAAAGCCTGTTTGAAATGCTTGTGGCCAATGTTTATTATACTGTGGTTCCACTGGAGTATGTAAAGTGGTTATTAAGTGCTGTGGTTATGAATCACTTGGAGCATGCCCCATACATTTTTACTGGCTTGTGTTCTGTGTTCCTATTCATAGGATATCAATAACAAGAGTGACAGCTGACATTTCTCTTGCTAAGAGGTCTGTCCTAAATAATCCCAGCAAGAGAGCAATAATTGAACGTTCGAACACCCGGTCCAGCTTAGGTAAGATGTTCAAATGTGGTACTTGGTACTCGCCAAGCTGTGCTTTTAGACTGAGATGACACATGGTGTGCTTGTGCATGTCTTTTTCAATTTGCTCCTCATTCTGAATGGAAAAGTGCTGAATAACTAATGAGCATGCTAGCCATGGACAAGAAGGGAGCCTACTCTGTCTGCTCTAGTCAATCAGTTAATTAGTAGTCTGGTGAAAAGAATCCTCAATGAGCTCTCCCAGTCTGTTATTGCCTACCCATGTGAAACCACTTAGCTCTGCTTGTCTAAGCTTCTCAGTGAGGCCAATGAATCTGTCATACCTGAGTCACAGCCGACATGAAAGGAAACAAAGGTTCAGTCTTCTCAAATCTTTAGATGGAAAAGCTAGATAATGGTGTTCTTAGTGTTGCTGCTTCTGCTAGCTGGTAGTACACAAAGTGGTCACATTTTTAAATAGAGGTGGCAACCTCCATTAATAACATGCAGGGTGTTTAAATATATCTCTGCTAGGGGACTAGTCACAAAGCATCCCAAAATGCACTATGATGGAGAATAATAAAAGACTTTATCAAGCCATAGGTGAGCAGGGCTGTGGAGGATGGAGTTGTCATCCATGGAGTGAGTCCATTCTGCCGGTGAATCTCATCATTCATATTGAAAGCCGAGTCATGGTCTCCACAATCGCCAAGAGTGTTGTAGTCCACCCACAATCGGATTCTCTTTTGCATTCATGTTCTGAGGGTAACTTGTTTTAACTAGGAAAGGCAAGGCTCTTCCATGCCACTCCATTGTTTTAACTACTGAAATGAGCTCTATAGATGATAGAAAACTTAAAAAATTAGAGTTAGAGTGCATGTCCTAACACATCGTCAAAACCCACTGGAGGCTGTGCCTTGACCCTGAGCCAAGGATTGTGCAAGTTGGAAAGAGTATACAGAGATCATCTGTGTATCCCTGGCACAGGATTGGCACATGGTAATTGCCAATAAATGTTTGTTGGATGGTTGCCTTGTGAAAGAATGCTAAACATAGCCAATGGAATAGCTGTCAGCACTTGTGGAGGGAAAATCCCAGAGATTAGTGGTTCTTTGGTTAGTCCTATATTTACAGCCTTCTACATACAGAGTGAAGCATTCTTAAAGGTACAGTATTTTGACCTTGTGAATATGACAATGGCAGTATTGATGGTGAATCAGATTAGGTAACTAAAGTCAAATATTGTGAATGACAGGACACAAGTTAGATTGAAGATTTCTCAAACAAGCATCTGTTGTCTATTCTGTCTCCACCCTCCTTGTAACTCTGTATAGTGTCTTTGACCTTTAACCATTCCTTCCATTGACGTGTCAGAGGCTAAAAGATATACTAGATTGCCTGATTCCTTCACCCAACTCCACCTGCCAAGATTTCATGGATTTTTCTCTGAAGTAATTCCCCATTTAGAAGGAGGAAGTAATGAAGTAATCTAGTCATCTGTTGTCAGAGTCAGTGGGAGAGTGAGGTGAGATTGATATAAACATTTAGGAAGAAACAAAGTAGATCTCTGTTCATTGTTTCTACCTTTGCTCTGTGAAGTCATATACCCAGAGCCACTGGAGTTATTTAATGCCAATGTATTATAATAACCACAGTGTGATCTTCTTATGCCCATTTCTCTGTTCATTAATGCACATTTGTAGAGTCCTTTATCAGTGTTTATTGAGCACTTGTTATGTGCCATGCACTTAACTAGACTTAGGAAATACAGATGTAACTGAGACACAGAATCTTACCCATGGACAAAGAGAAAGAAGGATGTTGGTTAAAATACTCTGTGATAATGGAATTATAAACAACAACAACAACCCAAAAAAAAAGGGTATAAAGTCAAAGGAAAGGAGTAAAAGATGTGTAAAAAGACCTCACAGAAGTTATATTTGACCTGGTTTTTCAAGGCAAACAAGAATGTACAAAAACATTTATGTATCAAAAATAAAGTGTGGTCGAGATATATGACACCTACGTATCAAAAATAAAGTGTGGTCGAGATATATGTAGATTCATGTACAGCATGCGTAGGAAGACGGGCTGGGTTGTGGCTTGAGAGGGACAGAAAAGGTTGAAGAGATAGATTGAAGCCATGTATTAAGGCTCTAGAATGCTTTGCTAAAAAGAGGCCTCCAAAATAGATGTTCATGAAATGGTAATTTTATAGGATCTTAATAATTGTTACATTCAAAATGGTTTCCATGGCCAAATAAATTTAGAAACGATGAATTCATTAGTTGACATGCTTCTTCACTTCAAGACTTCCTAGAGCTTTCAACATGTGAGGGGTAATGTCTGTTCGAAATTCCAATAGAAGTTTTATGGTATATAGTATATCCCTTACGAAAAGCCCTTTTCTTCCCATAGGATATCTTATGAGGTTACCGTTCCAGGGTGTTTTGAAAAATCCTGCTTTGGGCTCTAGGGAGCCACTGCAATATTTTAAGGTTGAAAAAATATGAACATATTTGAGTATAAGAAAGATCACTGAGGACAGAGATCTTGGAGAGTGGTGTGCCCAGACCAGTCATGGTCAGGTTATAGAAGTGTTAAAAAGCCCTCCAGCATCAGAGGCCATGGGTCCAGAGCTCCACTTGCCTGGAACAGAATAATGGGAAAAACTTCATTGGAACTCCTCTCAGAATCAGTCTGGGTGGTCAAGATTATTAGATTTGGTTGAAGGTATTGTTGTTATTGTTGATGCTTTTAGAAAATGAATTATGTAGGTAAATAGGCCTTGCTTTCTCACATGTGTAATTTGTTTATTACATTCTACATACATATCACCCAAATATTGGGTCCACCCCTGTATTTAGTTTGGCCCTCTGCAGCCTCCTGGCTTGCTCTTCCCAAATACCTCTTTGTTTATGACAGCATGCCCATTGCCCAAGGATTTTGCTGGTTAAGCTGGTGTGCCTGCCCTGTGCTCCTGTCAGGATCCACACTTAAGGTCATTGCCAGTGCAGAATAGCAAGGCTCAGGTATTTCTGAGTTAATTAGACAGAGACTCAGAGTGCCTTGAGGGTTCTTTGTACAAGGGCAGTCCAGTTTACTCATTGCCTTTTTGCCTTCAGAAAATACTGTATTCAGATTCAAAACTTCACACAGTATAAACTTGTTTTTTTATAGTCCTGGCCAGGAGCTCCCCTAAATCAGTGGCAGTTGAATGAAAACAACAACTGGGGACCAGCAGATGGTGTAGTGGTTATGTCGCTGGACTCCCACATGGTTGACCATGGTTAGAGTCCTGGACTCTGTGTCTTGAAAATCACTCCAGGCACATGTGCATGCGTGCCTGAGATCCTGGGAGGAGAATGGAGTAAAAGGGATTTTGGCATGGCCGTCCTCCCTGGGGAGAGAGTTCTTACTTTCCCTTTCATAGTGTCTGTCTGTTTGTCTTTCTCCCTGGGGAGTACACGTGCCCTAAGACAAAAAAAACTCAAAAACAAAAAACAAAAACAAACAAAACAAATGAAGAACATACCCCAAGATCCTGAAGTTGAAAGTTACTATAATAAAACTTGTTTTTATTTTCCAAACTTCTTATGAAATTTTTTTTCTTTTAAGATTTTTGCCTTTGGGTGTGTGTGCTCATGAGAGAGAGAGAAAGAGAGAGCGAGAACGTGAGAAATCATCCCTTGGAAGGGATGGCCATGCCACAATCCCTTCTCCCCCATTCTTCTCTCAGGATTTTAGGCATACGTGCATGCCTGTATACGGTCAACCATGTGGGAATTTAGCATCTTAACCGCCTCTCCATCTGCTGGCCTCAGAAAAATTTATTTTTTAACTGTTTCTAATATGTAAGAAGAAAAGGATCAATATGTTTATTATTACTAACAAATGTATATTATGATCTCAGAAGAATCTGGCAAATAAGCCTACTTCTATTGAAATCTTGAAAGCTAGTCACCTTTCAAAGCAACATGAAATCTTTCAGGCCACTTCACTCATCAAATTCATTCTTTTTCATACAGATCATGCATGAAACATGAATGATTCTATGGGAAATGAGAATTTTAGGCTATTATCTAAAGCCCAAGAAATTTGAGTTTCATGATGGTCTTGAGTATTCGTGACCCTTCATAATACCCTATCAGTCTTTTTGCCTAAGGAATGGAAAGTTTTTTGAGTGAACTTGAATGTACACTACATAAGCATATCATGGGATTTCAACAAATCCCTTTTCAAAGGGGGTATTTAGAGCATCATGACCTTTTGTATAGGCCATCTTCAAAATCACTTAAGTTAGGTAGCTTTGTCTACTCTGTGTACTTTGGATCAGATTATAGTAAATATTGTTAGGTCATACCTACAGCCCCAAAATAAAAATAAGTAGAACAAAATCATCTTTCTGAGAATTAAATAGTTGAATTTAGACTTTGGCCATGACTTAATAAATCAGATGATTTATAAAATATACATTATTTTTTTTTAATTTTAGAAAGCAAAATTATATTTTTCTTTAAAAAAAACAGTGTAATTACTTCAGACAGTAGAAAAGAATTAATTTTTTATTTGACCATGCTCAGATACAAATTTGGGTAAGTTGACTGTTACAGTTAGTCAATTACATGTGCATCTAGATGAATTTGGCATTTTAGTATTATTGGTCTTATTTTTTTTAAATATTGAAGATAATTATGCCTTAGAACAAGCTTGTTGGCTGTAGTACTTAAATCTAGCTACTTTAAGTAATATGTTAGTTGTAACAATAGACCCAGAACAATTAACCAGGGGTACAAAATATGCATGTCCATCAAAACAGGTAAACTGTTGGGGGGGGTGGTTAAAAGCATATCCACAAAATACTAATATTGGGTTTTGGGAAAAGTCATGATGTATTTATACGTAGAAAAATAGTCTTCCAACAACCCAATATAAAACTTGATAAAAATATTTTAGTGTCATTTGCTTTCCATGAGATGTTGCCCTGAACTTGTATTTCAGTTGTCTTAAAATGGTTTCAATTTCTGTAACTGAAGTGAAAGTTTTTTTAGAACAAAGCAACAATCAAAATCAACACAGAAGAATCACCACAGCTATATAAATAGCTAAATATTATATCGAGTGTCAGAATCAAAAAATCATCTCTATTGTTTTACCAACTGTTTGTATGTAAAACTCAACCCGTTTCTCACTCTCTGTCTTTAGGAATGATCTTAAATTAGGACTATAAAAAACATTTTTAAAAAATTTTGTAACGTAGACAAACATATATGAAAGTGTGCTATTTCTTTTGGACATAAGAACTAGTTAAGGAGAGTAACCAGGACTTACTATTTATTATGTCTCCTTTTAGCGGAAGTACAAAGTGAAATTGAAAGAATCTTTGAGTTGGCACGATCTTTACAACTGGTGGTTCTTGATGCAGACACCATCAATCACCCGGCACAACTTATAAAGACATCTTTAGCACCAATTATTGTTCACGTGAAAGTCTCATCTCCAAAGGTAATTAGCTCATGTTTGTATTAAGGATTAGAAGTGCATTTATTTGAATTATTCTTTGCTCTGTGCTAGAAGGCTATATTGTCGAGACTCTTACTGAGCACATTTTACAATCTTCACTACTAATATAAAAGAGATAAACTGAAGCAAAATATATAAAGCACAAGGAGTTTATGTGTGCCAGTGTTGAGGACTGCAGACCTGGTGAACATTTTTGGTACCCCTGAACATGCTTACTTAGGTCTTAACAATCCTCTGACAGGTTTTAAAGGCAAAAATCACGAACGGGAGGGATTATACCAATTGTTTTGGGGACGACTGTGCTTGGATACCAGGATCAATAATAAGTGGTGTTAGTCCAAGTTTGGACTGGCAGTCCCAGGCAGATGTCATTGTAGAAGTCATTCTTATGTCAGGTTGCCTTGCTCTTTGAACAGTGCTGTGGTTCTGGAAGAATTCTTTAAATAATAGTTCTTATCAGACATGCTGTCATGAGAAAACACAACTCCATGGCCTTTCTTGGTTTAGTCAGGGTTCAGCCATTGACACAAATAACTTCATTTTGATTCTGAAAATTTCACACCACGGCGTAATGTTCTAGGAATGTTAGGATAGCAAAGAAAGAACAGTCTATTCCTTCAAGGAGTTTACTGTCTATTGTGAGTCCCAAATCAGATAGCTATGCAATAGCTAATAGAAATAAAAAATGAGGATAGATAAGGAAGGTCAGCCCGTGTCATGGTGATTAAGGTGGTTGGATTCCACATGGCTGACTGTGCAGTTTGAGCCCCAGACCCGGTGGCTTATGCCCAAAATTGTGAAAGGAGAAGTGGCGGAGAGGAGATTGTGGTGTGACCATCCCTTATGGAGAAGGGGAGGCTGCTTTCTCACTTTTCTTCCCTTCTCTCTGTCTGTCTCTGATGAGCACATTTACCCTCTAGTGAATAAAAAGAAAAAAGAAGGGTGAGGAAACATAGACTGACTTTTCATAGACAGAGGTTCTATTAGGTCGTCAGGAAAGTCATGACGTACTTTTCTATGGAAAAATGTGTCATGACTTTTCCAATGACCCAGTGTACTGGTAAATTTCTTGGATAATAGTGATTCTTATATAACCTATATTTTCTCCCCAAATGAGAGAGCACATAGTTTGAGAAAGAAAGCTATAGGCCAGTTTCACGGCCTGTAGGGAAGGGCAGCCAGATCTCACATGGCTGACCAAGCAGGTCAAATACCATCCCTGACAGCTTGAGAAAGAGGTGCATGTGTGTGAATGCCCAAAATCCTAATGGGGAAGAAATGGAGAAGGAATTGCAGCATGACCATTCCCATGGTGGGTGCTTTCTTCCTTTCCCTTTCTATGTTTCTCTCTCTGGCAAGCATACACCCTCTGGCAAATTAAATGAAAAAGAGAATCTCGTATATAAAGAAAAATATCACAATGTAAACATCTCTTATGGAAATGTTACCATGACATTCGTGACTAGGTTAATGGTCTTTGAGGAATATAGTTATTTCATAATTAAGAACAGTAGCAAATTTGCCGTGTACCTTTATGTCATTGGGGAAGATACAAATAAAAGTGAAACACTCCCAATTTGATTTCTTTTGATTTAAGTGTGTCTATCCTCTCTCTCTCTCTCTCTCTCTTTTTAATTTGCCAGAGGGCACATGTACCTGTCAGAGAGAGACAGAGAAAGAAAGCAAGAAATTACTGCTCATGGGGTATAGTCATTCTGCAATCTCTTCTCCTCCATCTTTCTGTCATTTTGGGATTTGGGGCATGCACACACAGGTACTCAGCCTGTTTCTTATTTATTTATTTGTGTGTTTGTTATAGAGTTTTTTGCCTTAGGGTGTGTGTACTCACGAGAGAGAGACAGAGACAGTGAGAGGGACAATGAGAAATCACCCCTTGGGGGAATGGCCATGCCCTAATCCCTTCTGCTCCATTCTCCTCCTAGAATCTTGGGCATGCATGCACACACTCCTGTTGTGAGTTTCAAGCCACTGGGTTTAATGCTCAAACCATGGTCGTGCATGTGGGGGTCCAGCAACATAACCACTACACCATCTGCTGCCCCCACTCCTGCCCCCACCCTACAGCATGTTTCTTAAGTTGCCAGATTTCAGACTTGAACTGTGTGATTGGCCATGTGGGATCCAGCCTCCCTAACCACTACTCCACCGGCAAGCCTAAGAATATTTGTTCATTTTAAAAAGTAATAATGTTCTAAAAAGTTAATATGCAGTAGACACCCCTGAGAAGTACTGTCTTGATAATCAGTTTCTTTTCCATGCCTCCTAAAGTATATTATATTGCCTAAATACAAATTCAACTGCTCACTGAACAGTAGTCTTCTCTCATGGGTAGACAATGTCCAAAGAACCTCCCCATTTCCTTCTTGTTCTCAGCCTCCCATCTCTCCAGGCACTGCTTCTATGTCGTGAACTTGGGAATCCCAACCAAACCAGGGCCTTTTGAGACTCAGTAGAATGGACTGAAATTGCTTTGAGTGCCTGATGGTCCCTTTGACCCACAGCTGCTGGGAATTCATGCCCCCTTTGCTGCAGTGGTGGAGAAGTCAACCCCTCCCACTCCCCCATCACCATGATGTCCTTAAGTGCAGGAACAGGAGCTCTCCTTTGCCTGTGTGCTGGGGTGGCCACAGGTCCAGAAACCAGCACTGTTTCTTTGTGGGGGGTATGTGTGTGGGGGGGGGCAGTTTGTTTCAGCCAAAAAAAGAAAGAAGAAGAAAATAAGGAAGAAAGGAGTTTATGGCCAAAATTAGTTACCACAGTGGTAGAAAGACATCAATAATACGGAGTCTTCAGAAAGTTCATGGAACATTGGTGTTACTAAAAAACTGTGCATTGGGACCAGCAGTTAGCATAATGGCTATGTTGCTGGACTCCCATGTTGTCGACCACAGTTCATGTCCCAGACCCAGTGGTTTGAACTCATGCCGGGCATGTGTACGTGCATGCCCAGGATCCCAAGAAGGGAATGGAGAAGGGATTGTGGTGTGGACATCCCCCTGGGGGGGGGGGGGATTTCTCTCTCTCTCTCTCCACAATGAGAACATACACCCTCTCGCAAAAACTCCCCTGGTCCCCCTGTCTTTTGAACGAGCCCCCCCCCCCCTTAGCAAAAAACCCTCCCAAAAAAAAAAAAAGTCGTGCATGAATTCCCCCAATTTTTTGTCCCAAAATAAGCTCATACTTTAATTCTAATTTTCCATGAACTTTTTGTAGTCCCTTCATGCATCACTGGTTTATATGTAGCCATGTACCAATGAAAATGTTTTGCCTAGATTTTCGATCATGAAATAGTCTTATTTATGTAAAATTACACTGGAGAATCTCAATAATTATTGACAAAAAAGGGTCAGATATGCAAATAACCCTGATATTTATCTGTCATGGAGATAATGAACCACAATGCTACTCATCTGAATAATATCAAAATATTGCTTATCCTAAATGACCTTACCCTATAGACCAGTTCTTTCACATTTTGGGGGCTCTTTTTGAAATCTCTGGGTAAAATCAAGGGTGGGAACTCAAGACCCATATGGAGCTAGAATAGAATGAACATATGGAATCCATTATAAATGAAAGCCAGTAAAAATGGGTGACATCATTATTGGGTTACATATGAGGGGGCTTCAAAAATTTCATGGAAAATACATATTATGACAAACTATGCATGAATTTCAATTTTTTTACATTAAAATGAGCTAGTACTTTAGTTTTATTTTTTCACATCTGTCTCATTTATGATTTCTCACATCATATTTTTCTGTCTACTACTGTGCCAGGCTAAACAGACTATAAACAAGACCTTGGTTTATTTGGTTTTCTTTGAACTCATTGACAAGACCTCTCATTCTTGTTTTCTTCTTCAAACAGGTTTTACAGCGGTTGATTAAATCTAGAGGAAAGTCCCAAAGCAAACACTTGAACGTTCAATTGGTGGCAGCTGATAAACTTGCACAATGTCCCCCAGTAAGTCTAATCATTTTTGTGTGAGTCACTCTTGATTAGTTAACAAGGTAGGGTTTTCTTTCATATTAGCATTGTCATTTTTATTCTGGAACGGTGATAATAGTATGTTGTCATAAAGCTAACAGATTTCTTGGAACAAGCTGCTACCATCAGGTATCGAGAACTGGGCAGAGTCTACCTTGTCATAAGAAATGAACTTCGTCCAGGTCTGCTCTCCTCACTGCTACCGTGATTATCTTGAAAACACTTAGCATCCAGCATCCAATTATGTGGACACTCTTCAGAAAAGAAAGAACATGGCACATATACTCTCTGGAATACTATTCAGTCATTTAAAAAAAAAAACAAAACACCTGGCTTTTGACAGGAAGTGGATGAATATGGAAGCTTTACTGCTGAGTGAAGCAAGTAAGGCTATGAAGGAGAGGCATTGTAGGTCCCCACTTAATATACACCGAGTGTCCGCACTCTATGACTGAAAGTGATTGACAAAAGGATATAGAAACAAAGTAAATGGATGTAAATACAGATATATGTGTGTGAAAGAGGAGGGTTTGAGGAAAAACAATGAGAAGAAAAATGGGGAGGAAGAGCATTAATGACACAAAGAAACGTGCCAATTTCGATTAAAGATATTTTATAGTTTAGTCAACTGGACTAGGGAGAAATGTTCACATGTTAAAATATTCACATTGTAAGCTAAATAGTGTGGTTAACTGTATAAAAGAAAATAAAATTTAAAAAAAAATAAAAAGAAAAGAAAAGAAAGAACAAAGTAAAGCATACCAACTGACTTTCCTTAAACTTTTCTGACAAAAATTTCTAGCTGGCATAGAAGGCAATGATTTTTTTTTTTTTTTTGGTAGAGGTTTTCGCTAATAGGGCGCATGCGCTCGCCAGACAGAGAGAGAGAGAGAGACATAGAGACAGAAAGCGAGAAATCACCCCCCGGGGGGATGGTCACACCACAATCCCTTCTCCTCCATTCTCCTCTCGGGATCTTGGGCATGCACGCACAAGTGCCCGGCGTGAGTTTTGAGCTAACAGGTCCGGGACGTGAACCACGGTCGACTATGTGGGAGTCCAGCAACATAGCCATTACGCTAACTGCTGGTTGTCTAGAAGGCAATGATTTTGAAGGTTGAGAATTCATTGGAACTAGAGGATCCCTGTGGCTTTAGTGGATGAAAGGGTCAGGGTTGAGTGAGATGAAAAAACATATTAGGCGGGACCAGCAGGTAGTGTAATGGCTATGTCGCTGGCCTCCCACGTAGTCGACCGCGGTTCGAGTCTCGGACCTGGTGGCTTAAACTCACGCCGGGCGCGTGTGCGGGCGTGCGTGCCCAAATCCCGAGAGGAGAATGGAGGAGAAGGGATTGTGGCATGGCCATCCCCACTTGGGGGTGATTTCTCGCTTTCTATCTTTCTCTCTCTGTCTGGCGAGCACATGCGCCCTGTAGCAAAAACCTCTCAAAAAAAAAAAAAAAAAACATAAGGGGGCAACTCTTCTCTTAGTGCCATTGCCAGAAAACAGTTGCTGGGTTATAAGACAAATAGTGGCAGGAAGAGGATGGAGAGGCAACTGCCACCATATGTCACTGGGTCACTCACCAGTAGGCAGTTCATGTCTCCACTTGCTCAGCTGACAACACTTCAGTGCCTATGTTTCCCTAAAGGAAGTAACTGTCTCTTACTTAATTGATCCACTAGGTGTGGTTCATATACTTGTAAGGATCATTTACAAGTGGAAGTATAAAATTAAATTCTGTGGAAACATAAAATCCAATTCCTTGGAAGCATAAAATCCAATTCACATGTCCAGGGAGACAACATGGTATAGCTGTTAAAAGCAGACTGCAGCCAGATGCCTAAGTTCAAATCTATACTAATTGTGTGATCTTGGGCAAGTACCTACCTCCCTGGGTTGATAAGGATTTAATGAGTGAATATGTGATAAAGCTCTTGGCACTGAATAAGCACTGTTTCTGTTAAATTACTGGATGAATTTTGTTCTTGTTGTTTTGTCTGTTAGATTCTATAAAGAACTGCCTCTCTGGTTCAGTGTTGTATATCAGTTCCCTATCGTAGTAGGTCCCAAGTAAATATTTGTTTAGTGAATGAATGAATGAATGTATCCTTGTGAATAATTTAGCCTTCATTAGCTGCTTACGATGGGTCAGGCAATGTGTGAGATGCTTTACGTAGATTAATCCACACAGTTACCTAATAAGATAGGTAATATTATCTCCATTTTGTAAGGGAGATAACTGGAACTAGGGAACTTAAATAATAGCAAATTAAGATTAGATGTAGATCTTACTCCACAGCCAGTTTTCTCTCCTCTCACCCTCAGTCTGCCAAACACACACACACCTGGTTGTGTCCCCCACACACACACACCTGATTGCCTACTCCACAGGTATGTGGAAAATTTAGAGGCTGGACTCTGATGTTAAGAAGTTTAACTTTACATTGCCTACTAATACAGTCCACTTACACAGTGGAATGTATAATTAAAGCACTGAGCGAAGCCAGCTGTGGTGGCACAAGTTGCTAAGATCCTGGGCTCTGCAGGCTGAAACCACAGAGGAGCCCTGCATCCGAGTCCTGGTCCAACCAGAAAAGCAGTTGCAGTGGCCTGTGTTTGTAATCCCAGCAACTCAGGAGGCTGAGGCAGGAGGATTGTGAGCCACAAGGCTGTCTTGGGCAATATAATGAGACCCTATGAGAAAGAACTGGAGAGGTGGCACCCGTCTGTAGTCCCAGCAACTCAAGGAAGGAGGAGGTTTGTCAGCAAGACTCTCTAAGACAAAAGAGCTCTGAGTGAATATAGAAGAATGTATTACTGAGCCCCTGACCCTGTAATGTTTTACAGTTGAAGGAAGATAATCTTTATTGTCCAGGTACCAAAAGGCAGGAACTATGCTGTTATTTCCAGTTTCTATAACAATCGAATAAGGGCAGTTATATTATTTTTACCTAGAACAATTGAATAAGGGCAGTTATATTATTTTTATCTTCCAGCTAGAACTACATGAGATTGCTTGTAGAAAATGTTTTTTTTTCTTTTTTATGAGAATGAGTTAACATTTAATCCTAATAATTGGTAGAGAAAATACTCTGTCTTATTAAAATTGAAATATTTTAGCTGCTGAGAGGGTTGCTCATTGACTAGTTGTACATTTAGTGCAATGTGTTAAGATCTGGAACAGCTGGAACCAAGAAAAGACGTGTGTGTAGGTAGATGCAAGTCAGGGCTTAGCACATGTCCCCAGATCAGGAATCTCAAACAACTTTATCCACTAGGAAGACAGCCTTACCCTGTCATTATCTCACCTGGGTAAACATCTCCTTGTTTTATATAATTGGTTAGATAACTTAGAGTTTTAAGCAAACAGTCTGGATAAATAAGTTTAGCTGAGATGTAACATTTTCTAAACACTGTTTACCGTATTAAGTGTGTTTATTTGATGTTGCATGAATAGCATTTGTAATGCTATGAAGGAATCCTACCGTCTATTTTGGCACACGGGAAGAAATCTTCAGATTATAAAAACTAGTAGTAATTTAAAAATGTGTCTGCATTTGTCTCTGCTTTACTTCAAGACCATAATTATAATTGTCACCCAAAGATTAGTGATCACTGTGTCATTTTAGTTCCTTTAGGAGAATTTGCAGTTTGCTTAATTGGCAACTGGATCTCCAGTCTGAAAAGTCAGCAAATTACACTGGCAGAGCCTCACATTGTTAAGAAATTAAAGGCAGCAATTTTGAGAAAGAGTTTAAAAGACATGAAGGACAGGGAGAAGCAGCTAGTTTTCTGGAGCCAGAAGAATGCATCTTAGATTCATGGACTAGTGGAACAAAAAGGGACTTTAAAGATCACTCAATATAGTACTTCTGGTGTATTTCTTTAGCGTTTGGGTTCCGTGTGATGTCAGTATGTGTTGTAGAGAAAGGGCCCTGATACCAAACGTGTTTGAAAAAACACTTATATAAACAAAGGTAGTCTGGTTTCTTTACTGCACAATCCTGAATATGCTAATGTGCTAATATGCAAACATATTTTCCATCTCCAATAACATAGATAGCATGCAGTGCTTCTCTCTAAAATGTGAGTACAGTTCTGTTTTTCCATGCGGCATCCTATGGGCCTCATGTTTCATGGAACATATCTAGGGAAGTCTGATCCAGTCCAATCTCATTTTACAGCAAGAAAACTGAGACTGAGAGAGGTGAACTGGTTTTCCAAAGGTCATGTGCCATGGCCAAGGTCAACATAAGAGCTCTTTTTCCTAAGGGGCCAGGTAGTGGTGCAGGGGTAGTGCAATGTTTTTCAAGGCTTACCCATGTAGGAAGGTCTCAGGTTCACATCCTGAGACTTCCCTGAACATACACATGCCCATAATTGGGGGCTGGCTGAAACTGGGGAGAGATCGCAGCTTGAAGACCCTATTGGGCTGCCTGTCCCTCTTGGAAGAAAGAAGGAAATAAAAAGAGAGAGAGAGAGTGCACTGTCTCCTAGGCTAGTGAGATGTTATAGGTGAATGACAGTGGGTTAGCTATTATATACTCTCCTGGAGAGAGAGGGTTTCATGGGTACGGCTTTTTCTGGAAGAGGAGTCACTGACGTTTTTTAAAAAAGGACTAGACAATAATTATTTTAGGTTTTGTGAGCCATCCAGTCACCTTTGCAAAACTACTCGAAACTGCCTTTGTAGCAGGAAAGTAGTCATAGACAATTTGTAAACAAATAGAAATGGCTATGTTCCAATTAAACTTTGTAGAAGCAGGAAGGAGGCCAGATTGAGCCTGCAGACCAAAGAGACCACTCTTGTTCTAGGATACGATTGTGGTTTTCTACTCCTATGTAATAAACTACACCCCAAATTAGTGACTTCAACAACAGCTACTTGGTGGTATACAGCTGGAGAGTGACCTGGTGTTTTGCTGGAATGGTTAGAGGACTGGACCCAGCCAGCCCTTCTCTGTCTCCTAGT